CCTTTGGCCGTCGACCTGCCTCCATGTAGTGGGAGGCTACCCCCCCAGGCTGGTGGTGCGGCCGTTCCACTAGTCTAATTATTTATTTTATTTTATTTTATTTGTTTCTGATTATATTTTGTTTTCTTGTATTTTATCGCTCTGCTGACCCTTGGGGTCCATTTTATTTTGGTATACCTTTTCTAGGTACGTTAGCCTGTGACCACGGAAATTGGCCGAGTCAAGTGATGGATTGGTACGGAGAGATTGAGACAGAAGGAGGTACTGGATAGAGAGACCGGGATGGTTTTTAATGTGAAGACAACAACAACAACAACAACAACATGGATGGGTGGCCGGCCTACCTGTAACCACATATATGTGCCATCAAACATCAAATCCGGCATTCTGTACGAATGACCAAAGTGAACCTTGCGTCTCACTATTCACACACAAACGGATCGTGGATCGCTCAATAAGTTGATTACAGGAGGAGTAGGGCGTTGCATCGCGCGAGCCCGAAACCAATTTGAATATGAATGCAATTTGGGGCACGCTACCACAGCATTGCTTGTGGGTGAGTCCTTCATTTGTTTCCCCTCCAGTGTATCGTATCTCATCGCTCCATTCATGCGGGTGAGTTCGGATCTCCCCGGAGTGCAAAAACTCGCAATGTTCGACAGTGACAACTCCCCGAGTACGCGCCACCACGAGAGGAGGCCCCGCTAATCCCTACTCGCCGTCAAAAAAATTGTAGAAGACAATGAATGCTGCTCTGCCTCTTGAGGTGACCCGGCATTCGTGCTGTTGTCGGAAAGCAAAATACACCTACATAATATGTAGCGCCCACACAACAATTTAAGGAATTTGACCATCCACGAGGAAAACAGGTGTATGCTCAACCATGGGAACATTGGATGGTGTAGAAGAGGAAATAATCGACTAGACTAATAGTCCAGGCCTCGTGTGACCAGGAATGGGAGCGCTCCTTATGTATTGCCGGCAGAGATGTTGTGAGCCCTGATTCACACTGATGAAAAACTGCCTCGCCGAAGCCAGACAACAAACCAAAGCAAACTCACTGCCCCCGACACATTGCCCGTGGATGCAGAGGGGATTGAACCCACACGTTTGCCACAGGAGCAGAGATCGCAGCAGCAGGAATAAGAACGCCTTGTTCAGTCTTTCCATGCGCCCTATAAATAGCTCGCTGGAACCGAAGCCAAAGGCACGTCCGGAACAACACGCCTCCACACAAGGCACTCACGTAAATGTTGAGGCTTAGACTACTTCGATCTATTTGTCTAGCATGTTCCAGCTATTCCGGATAGTTGATTGCGGACCTCGCCCCGGTGCCGTCACAATAACTGGTGTGTGAAACGTCCATTGAAGTTGTTGTATCCGTTGTCATAGCAGCAGTAGTGCGTGGTTCGAGTGCGTCACGGGTACATGTAGACTAGACTTTCTGCCTGGCGGTATTATTGTTGTGGGAGTGCAACAGCGCGCACACGACCGTACATACATGAATGTAGACTGCATTCACCTGCCTGAAGATCAACGTCACACGGGCGAGGAGGTTCGCATGGCATACCGGCGACTCGCCGTGCCGAGAACTGTCTGTCGCCTACAGAACGGGCCCGTAGATAAGGGTGGTTCTTAACGCTTCGGAAAAGTAGTGAAATCTCCACGGAACGGTGACAAGAAAATCCGGCTTTCTTTCGCTTGTTCTATTCGTGATGTCATGGCAAAATTTGCGTTTCCTTCCCTGAATACACGCTTTGCTCGGCACACAACAGGTTGACTTGGTGTAGCTCACCATTGAACAGCAGTAAAAGCGCAATGAGCAGCACCCGACACAGAGGACAACACACTAAGAAAGATCCTATCTATCCACCCGGCCTGCTGTTTTCAATTTCAGCAACAACAGGCGCAGGGCAGAGTGTCTTCAGTTTGCCAGCTCATTTTCCACGGTTGCGACTCCCATCTTTGACCACCACCTGCCCAAAGGTAGACGAGCTCAACAATCATAGGGCGGCAGCCGCGCTGACGGCCAGCATCATATAGATGGTCAATCCGAAAGAATTAGCGTGTCGGAGGTCCTGTTGCTCTTCTGCTGCGTGGTGCCGTGGATTGATGTTGACGTGTCCGACCAAAAACAGAACATCTCGCCGCATTTTTTCCAACGGCATTTTGGCGAGGTGGCACACGTCTCTCACACACCTTATTGAGCAGCACCCAAGCACCCAATACCCACGAAGCAGTACGGCGCCGGGAGATGGTATCACATAGACAGCCGAACCGAAGGAATCAGCGCGTTGGAGGTCTTGGTACTGCTGCTGTACCCGTTCTACTGTTTCCGAGTTTGCTATGTGTGACTGACAAAAATTCCCCGGCACCAACAGCAGCAGCAGTCGAAGACGAGAACACCAAGCAATGTCTAGTTTTGGACCAAAATCGGACTGAACGCCGCTTCTGCCGGTTGTCCATCTCCACAACAGACCTGGACGTGAGTCTGGCAGGTCTTTCTAGCGTTCTCAGCGATGTTACAGTGCCCGCAGTGCACTTGTTGTCCGATACTTATGTCAATAACACGGGCAAGCCCCGAAAAATCCCGGCTCCTTCTTTTCACTTTTCCGGGGAAAAACGCCTCCGTATATGTACAAGAAAACACGCTTCCGTGCAATGTTCCGTGTGGTTTTGGCCGTTATGAACCACCCTATAAGAAACGTCAAAATCGGGTCGAGCCTCAATATTTATTTTTTATTTTTTTCTTAATATGACACAACGATTCCATCTCTATCACNGCGGGGAAACAAAAGGACCCATCTAAAACAGTTTTTTTTTTTTTCTTAATATGACACAACGAGTCCATCTCTATCTTAGAAAAGAGTCAGAGACAGATTAACAATGGAATCATAGCGTCAGAGAAAACTACTTGTCTGTGTGTCTACGATTTCCCAGACAGCATATAGGGACATCTCCCCTGTGGGTAACAGGTTCAACAAATCAGTTTGGTAGCTGTCTTGTGTGTCTCATATATATATAATATGTTATGTTGGGAAGGTGCAGACGAAAGGTGTTGGGTACTGCTCTCCCTTCTTCCCCTCGCTCCTCGACAAGCTTTTGCTTAGACATGGGTTGTAGTGAAGGGGGGGGTCTTTCTGGCGAGCAGGGCTAGACTCACCCTCAAGGGATGACCGAAACCTTCTTGCTGCTGCGCATA